GCAAATGACATTTAAAAAAAAAAAAAAATCAACAATTTATTTTTAGACAGAATTTCAAGCAATCTCAACATATTCATTTATTTATTTAAAAACTCTAAATTGAAACAGTGAATTAACATAACCAATTGAACCAACATTCAGCGAAGAGAACCCTTTGATCGCTTCTGGTGAGGCAATTGACTCCTATTTCATGGGAAAGCAGTTCAAGTGCTGCCATTTGGTCATGTCGACCCCTCACTGAACCCAACCTCAAAGAAAACTCCAATTAGTAAGAGAACAAAGCAATAAAGAGAAAGATAAAGAGTTTCTTCTTTATCATCATCAAGTCGCAGAACAACAAGATCTCTATCTTCATACAGAGTTTCCAAGTACCCATGGGAAGATGAATAATTGCTTTGGTCGCAATGAAGAAAGATCCTCTAAAGAAATACACAACTTTGGTCATGGGAAAGCAGACCGACCCGACTTCGCATACTCCGCTACGACCTTCGACGACGCCATTGAAGAAAACTCCAAAGGGATTATGAACCTAGGGTTTTTTCAAGACGACAAATAAGATTGAAATGATGGAGCTACGGTGGTACGTACGGAGATTGGGGACCATTAGCATGAGCGATTTATCTCTCTCATCTTCTCTCCTCTCTATCTCTATCCATCTCATCTTCCAAATCCCTCACATCCTTCGCATCTCTGTTAAACCTCCATCTTTCTTCTCTTTCTCTCAATTCCTCTATCTCATATCCTTCTCACTGCAACTGCACTTCCATCTTCCATCACCAATTCCCTTCACCTTTCCCCACCACCACCACCACCACCATTGTTGTATTTTTCATGATCAGAATCAGACCTGTTGTCTTCTCTTCCAAATTTAGAACGCTCACGTACGACCAAGTTGCATGAGTCTCTTCTTTTTCTTTGTTGTTGTTGTTGGGTTTGCTTTTGTAAAAAAAAAAAACTCTATTTTCTGGTTCATCAACGGCATTGATGGAGGGATTTCACTGTAAAATTATTGAACGAAAGATTGATTGAAGAATTCGCCAGTCCATGAAGATGGAGTGTCATTGGTGTAGCCTAGTTGTCAAGAACAGAGAGTGGGTCGCTGAGAACGGAGTACTTGAAAGAGAGTAAGAGAGACCTATTTGAGTTTAGAGCTAAAGAGTGACTCAAGAGAAGAAGAAACAGAGTAGATGACCACCAAAGGTGAAGACTTTCACTTGTGGTAGTGTTTAAGGCCATGATTTGCTTGACAGAAGAGGCTTTGATTTTGGTGGATTTTGGGTTTATATGATCTCTCTTTCTCTTTCTCTCTCTGTGTGATAAGTTGAGGAAATTACGTTGGTGAAAAAACAATGGAAGATGAAAAGAGCTTTGAAGGTTGGGATTAATGGTGGATTTTAGAGCAAACAAACCCAACACCACCTTTCCCCTCCCTTCTCTCTCTGTGTGTCCTCTCCTCTGGATTAATTGTGGGTTGAATTTTAGAGAGAGAATATAGTGATTCTGGTTTTGACCCAACCTTTATTGTATTTCGGACTTGGGTTTCGTGGTTTAGTGTTGTTGTTCATCTTTTTTCCCATTGTTTTCCTTTAAGTTTGTCTTTTAAAGTGTTGTGGTTATGTTTGTGACAGGTTGGTTGCTTGATTTCCAAACTTTTGTTGTCCATATTTTTGCTCCTCCACTCGAGCAGCACTTCTTGTGCTCGAGCGGGCTTTGCAAACTCTCAGTACTTTTGTAGGTCTGCAAAACTACTAAGAGAGTGTATTATACACTCGAGCGGGTCTTTCTGCACTCAAGCGGGCTCAGCTCGAGTAGCCTTTTCTGGTGCTCGAGTGGTTGGTCTGTTGCCTACAAAACTACTAGATGTGTGTTTTATACACTCGAGCGTGACTTCTTGCGCTCGAGCGGTGAGCGTCTTTTTCATTGTGTCTTGGCGCTCAAACGGAACAACTTATTGTATCTGATGCTCAAGCATCACTTCTTGCGGTCAAGCGTCACTTCTTGCGCTCAAGCGTCACTTCTTGCGCTCAAGCAGATTGTGCGTATATCAGTTTGTAACAGCCTCATTTTACATTACTTTTTCATCCCCGTCTCTCTCTCTCTAAAACTCTCCAAAACCCTAGATCTTGAGTTTCTCTCTCTAAAACTCATCTGCTTTCTGCTATTTCACCTAGATCCATTGGGTTCTTCACCCTAGTGCCTTTGAGAAAAAGGTAGAGCGTCTTAAGAGCTCTGTTTTGATCCCAGTAGAAGCTGGTTTCGGCATCTTTGAAGTTCCTCCATTGTTTCTTTGGTCTTCTAAGCTTAAGGTAGGGATTTTCTACACCTTCTTATGGTTTTTAACTTAGTTATTGGTTGTTTTGTAACAATGGTGGGTTTTGGGAGTATTTTGGACAAACCTAGGGTTTGGGATGTAAAATCAAAAGAGGGGTTTCTAGTGAATGTGATATAAATGGTCATGGGGTTTGAAAATGAGGTTATATTGTATCACAACTGTTGATTTTGGCATTTGGATTGACCTTTGGGAAACAGGGAAGTTAACCTAAATTGGTTCAAATATTTATTTCATATAAATAAATGAAATTGGTATTATAAATATGAAATTGGATGAATGTTGATGTAAATGGTGGAGTTCGATATGCATTACCTCACACTTTTGGAAATTTGAATAAATTATCTGTTTTGAGATTGAATATCTATGTAGAAACATCTGTATTGGGCTATCGGTGGAGGATAGCTGTGATTATTGTAGAAATTGCATGAGAATTAGGTGAATTAAAACTAATCTCTTGTGGGTTGTCATTGAATATGACTATGTTTTAAATACGTTATATATGTATGATTATTTTGGAGGAGAAATGGGATGTACTCCACTATTTGGGAGGAGACAGGGGATGGACTGCATTGAAATTAAGTTGGCCTGTGTGTCCAGGGTGAAAGTCCCGAAACTACGCATATACATGGGTTCCAATCCTATGGACGGAATTTCCATAAAATCGCAAATTAAAGTGTTTGTGTGATAATTGTGTTAATTTGGGAACCATCGAGTTGTAGTTTCAAATGGGTTGTCTGAAAGATAATGAAATTGGCTCATGAAGTAAGATGAAATGAATTAACTTGAATTGACGCGAAAGAAAAAGGATTTAGATGTGAATTTTGGTACTTTATGATTATATATACTATGGAGGTTTTATCACTCGCCTTGTAAATGCACATTTTACTTATACCATCGTTAAAACTCATTTATTTTGTTAGATTGTTCCTACTGGGCTTTGGTTCACCTTATCTGGAAAAACCATTTTCAAGTGTTGATGATATGCCTCCGCTAAGGCAGTAGCTCGGAAGGAGCTTGGAGCACGAACTTCACTTTTTGTACTTATTTATATAGCCAAGTGCTTAAATTGTATAGAGTTAGACTCTCTTTTGTTGTAACCAAGTAGTGACTTGGAAAGATGTAATTCTTTAGGGCATATAATTATCTGTTTAACTTTTATTCCTCTTTACTACTTGTAGCATATGCTGTAGATTTAGGATGAACTATTTATGAATGTATAGCGTATGTGTCACTTTTGTATATCTATTCAGATTAATGAAAGTTTATTATTTCGATTATGTTGTCTTGCGTTTATTGTGTTGAGTTAGATTATTGTAATTATTTTCGAGACATTATAGAGAAAGTGGGTTTGCTTCAAATTTGCTGCTTTCTCTCTTTAAAAACTACCAAACCCACTTCAACGGCTTCTCATTCGGCCGATGAAGCCATCTCCAGTGCCCTCTCTTCCTTTTTCTCATGTGTTCCTTCTTCTCCTCTTTTTCTCTCACCGTCGCTTGGGTTTGGTTCTCAAACTAGTTTGAGAGAGAAAAGAGAGGGGGAAGGAAAAAAAAAAAAAAAAAAACCAAAACGACGTCGTTTTTGCATTTCAAGCCATATTTTGAGTTTTTTATTTTTTAAAATGAATTATATGTTAATTTATTTTTTTATTTTTTAAACATACCAAATTTTAGATGCATTTAATAATAAATAATTTTTTAAAAAAAATTCAATAATATACTGATTTTTTATATTTATTGAATTTTTAACAAAAAATCATAAATATTTACTTTTTAAGTGCATTTAAAAGTTAAAATAATTAATTAAAATATTTAAAAAAATCACTAGAGACACAAAAAATCAAAAACTGCATTTGAAAAGTGAAACCAAATAGAGTGATGTTTTTTAAATTATAAATTATGTGTTTTGTTTTTAAATGGATGGATTATAAGATTTACAATATTTTATATAAAATTTATTTGTTTATTATTGCTTTTGTATTTTTATTTTAGTGGGAACAAATAAAAAGTTATTAGGAAAAATCACAAATCAGGGAACAGTGAAAAAAATATTTCATTCATGGGTTACAATGTGTATGTTGTAAGTTATTTTATTTTTATGGTACTAGTCTTTTTTGTGCGTGTGTCTCAAATTTTCACTCAAAAAAATTTCATATGTAGAGCGATTATTTTTAAACTCACTAATTCGCAATTGCTCCAAATAATTACTTTCCTCATCTATTTTGTTTTTAACTATTTTATTTTTTTAAAATTATTAGGTATTCTCAAAATATCACATAATATTATTTATATATTACTCCCGACAAAGCTCCTCCCTCACCACTCCACCTCCTTGAACAAGAGAGAATCAGAGAAAGAAGAGATATAAAAAAGGAGAGAACAGGGAAATAGCAATTTTATTTTTTTTATTTTATATTTTTATGTAAAACAATATAAGATTTCAATATATTTAGCATTAGTTTGAGAAGTTTTAAATATGTTTACAAAATTTCTTTTCACAACTACATATACAACTGTTACTATATAACTAATTGTGAAAGGAAATTAAGTAGTTGCATTGAGAAACTCCCTATTTAATTTGCCACTTTTATGTGGGCAGATATTTTTAAAATATATATCTACTAATTTATAATAAAATTAATTTCTCATTTATTTATAATATTCACTTTAACTTATATGAAAAATCAATCTCACGTGCAATATATATTTGAACTTATATAAGCCACAAACATCATAAATAAAAAAACAAAACAAAATAAAAAATAGTACAATGTACCAAGTAAGGTACCATGACACATGAGAACATATGGACATAATTTTCACAAAAATGCTGAAGCACTGTTTGCGGCTTAAGAGAGAACGTTGCTCATGATTATGTCACGCGCTTTGCACATGGCTTCCAACGACTCAACTTTGAACATAGTAAGCCCTATCCCTTCCGTTAGATCAACTACCTTCTCAGTGACCCTCTCCCATTCAAAGCACTGAATTAATGACCCCAAAGCCAAACCCACAACACGTTGTGCTAGACTAGCACCGGGGCAGGCCCTCCTTCCCATCCCAAATGGCATCAACTTGTGTCCTTCTACTTCCCCACTTGCAAACCTCTCAGGCTTAAAGCTTGTAGGATCATTCCAAACCTTAGCATCTCGGTGAATGGCCCAAGCATTAACCAACAATATTGTGCCACGTGGCACATTGAATCCACCTATAGTGCAATCATCTGATGATGCATGTGGTAACAATAATGGTGCTGTTGGAAACAATCGGAAAGTCTCAGAGATGATAGCTTGAAGGTAATGTAGCTTTGAGATATCAGGTTCATCAATCAAGCGATCTTGGCCTACATGAGCGTCTATCTCGGCTCTTGCCTTCTTCAATACCTCTGGGTGGTTGACTAGAAGGGACATTGCCCATTCTATTGTCACTGATGATGTATCTGTACCCGCTAGTATCATGATCTGGACATTAAAGTTAATAAATGAAAACGAAAAAATAAATTATATTTTTACAAAATCAATATTATATTTGTAACAAAAGATATTTTGTTTTAAAGTATTAGACCTCAATTCTACTACATTATTTGTATGTAATTTATATATATATATATATATATATATTATATAATATATATTACACATCATTAATCACAAAAGTATAAGAGACGATAGGGAGATGAATTTACCATTTTTTAGCCTATTATATTTATCTACATAATAAATATTATGTGTATGAAAAATATTTCATATCTAAAAAATAATAAAATGCATTATTAATTTTAATATAATGAGTTCTACATGCAAACATATTTTTGTAGTGTGAATCTACTGTAGAAATGAAAAAAAAAAAAAAAAGCAACGAAAGTCATCCCGTAACATATGTCGTTTTTTCAATTATTATTTAGGAGTTTTAATTGCTGTATAAATTAAAAAAATATTTTAGTTAGTTATTAAATACTTTCTTTTTAATTTAATCAACATTCAAGTGGATATAGTATAGCGTTCTCCTTTGTCCGCTAGTTCGCAAAATTGAGTTAGAATAAAGATTTTGAGGAAGATTTTGTGGATGGAAAAGAAAATAAATATGAAAATGGATAAATTTATGAGATAATTTTTTTTTATTATTAAAGATTATGGTATAGATTCAATTGTATTATGTAGGGATATAATTGGTTCAATATGTTCAATATTTAAGTAAAATTTGTCACTAAATTAATAATGTCGGTTTTATTATTTGAAATACTTATACAGACCGCTTCTCTTATGAAATCATATCGAACTGAATTGATTAAAATGGTTCGATTTGATATAATTTAATTCGTATAGAACCTTTCAAATTTGAGTCACTTTTTTAGTATAATTACTCATTTGTATAAAAGTATTGAATTAGTTATTTATTCATCATTTCAAACATATCCAATCTATCTATTTAATAAATAATTTTTAATTCCTAAATTAACAAAAATACAAACAAAAAGAAGTTAAAAAATACTAAGGCTTAAAAAATAATGAGCTGGAGTTAAAATTATATAATAACAGTTTACAAATTTATATATTATATAAGGAAAATGGAGTTTTTAACCTACAAGCATTGTAGGAGTTTTAGTATCCCAATCTTAATTTTCTAATTTTTTGATTAAAAAAAAAACTCAGTATTTATTCACTTCTCTCAACCCAAAAGTCTTTTTGATTTCTCCCATATCCCATACACTATGATTGGTGATGGGATTGTTAATTATTTTTATAGAAAATCTTTTAAAAAATAATTTGTATGTTCAAAAAATATTTAAAACAAATATAAATTCTAATTAAAAAATAACAGTGTGCAATTACGAAAAAAAGAGAAAAAAATTACACCGTAAAAAATAATTTGTATATTAAAAAAATATCTAAAACAAACATTATCTATTTATCTATCTATACTATATATTAACAAAAATGGAGTTTTTAGCCCAAAGTCTTGTGGGAGCTCCAATCTCCCAATATAAATTTCTTAATTTTTTTATTTAAAAAAAAAATCTTAGCATTTATTAACTTTTCCCAACCCCTAAGTTTTACCCTCATAATAACACTTTATACATTAAGAACAAGCATAAAAATAATTCTTTGAAATTCAACACATATGAATTTCTTGAAAAGTCACAACACATGATTATTATCCCTCATAATAACACTTTAATGTATTAAGAATAAGCATAAAAAAAATTTCTTCAAAAGTCCAACACATATGATTATTATCAAAATATTAAACTTTAATATAATATAATAAAAAAAAGACATTTAATTCCTTAAAAAGCCTAAAAAAAATGATTATTATCAAATATTAAACTTTAATATAATATAAAAAGGAAAAAAAGAAGACATTTAAAAAAAAAAAGACATTTAAAAATCGCAAAGTATAATTTTTTTTTTTTCAAAAGTCCAACACATATGATTATTATCAAAATATTAAACTTTAATATAATATAATATAATAAAAAAAAAGACATTTAATTCCTTAAAAATTCTAACACATATGGTTATTATTAAAATATTAAACTTTAATATAATATAAAAAAGGAAAAAAAAGAAGACATTAAAAAAAAACATTTAAAAATTTCAATTCACATATATAGATAATCATAAACATAATCCGTGCATAGCACAGGTGATATGCTAGTATCTATACTATATATTAAGCAAAAGGGGATTTTAATCCCAAGCCTTGTGAGAGCTCCGATCTCCCAATCTAAATTTCATGATTTTTTGATTAAAAAAAAAATCTTAACATTTATTAACTTCTCCTAACTCCCAAGTCTTACCACCATAATAACACTTCAATGCATTAAGAATAAACATAAAAAAAATTCTTTGAAATCCAACACATATGAATCCCTTGAAAAGTCTCAACACATGATTATTATCCCTCATAATAATACTTTAATGCGTTAAGAACAAGCATAAAAAAAATTTCTTGAAAAGTCCAACACATATGATTATTATCAAAATATTAAAGTTTAATATACTATAATAAAAAAAAAGACATTCAATTCCTTGAAAAGTCCAACACATATGATTATTATCAAAATATTAAACTTTAATATAATATAAAAAAAGAAAAAAAGAAGACATTTAAAAAAAATATATTTAAAAATCACAATTCACATATATAGATAATTGTAAACACAATCTGTGCATAGCACGAGTTATATGCTAATACTATATATTAAGCAAAAAGGGGTTTTTAACCCCCAAGACCTGTGGGAGCTCCAATATCTCAATCTCAATTTTCTAAATTTTTTATTTAAAAAAAAACTCAATATTTATTGATTTGGTCAAAATTCCCTAATCAGCATTTATTAATTTTTTTCAATCCATATGTCTTTCCACATGCCTGCATTTATTGATTTGGTCAAAATTTTCTGATCATCATTTAAAATCCCCTCATACAAATAATTATAAATACTAACTTCTCTCATACACTATGGTTAGTGATAAAATTGTTAAATTATTTTTATAAAAAATCTTAAAAAGCATAATTTAGATATTAAAAAAATCTAAAACAAAAATAAATATTGATAATTATCTCGTGCATAACACGGGTGATAGGCTAGTATTATATGAGGAAAATAGGATTTCTAACCCACAAACTTTGTGGAAGCTCTAATATCCCAATCTTAATTTTCTAATTTTTTGATTTAAAAAAAAAACTCAGTATTTATTGACTTCTCTCAACCCACAAGCCTTTTTTATTTCTTCCACACCTACCGTTGCACCATTTTCAACTTCTCCCATACACTATGGTTATTGATGAAATTGTTAAATAATTTTTATAAAAAATCTTTAAAAATTTTGTATATTAAAAAAATATCTAAAATAAATATAAATTCTTATTAAATCTATCTATCTATCTATCTATCTATCTATATATGATGTAAGGAAAATGGGGTTTCTAACTCACAAGTCTTGTGGGAGCTCCAATATCCCAATCTTAATTTTCTAATTTTCTGATTTAAATTTTTTTTTTAACATTTATTAACTTCTTCCAACCCATAAGCCTTTTTGACTTCTTCCATACCTACTGCTACATCATTTTCAACTTTTCCCATGCACTATGGTTAGTAATGACATTGTTAAATTATTTTTATAAAAAATCTAAAAGAATAATTTGTATATTAAAAAAATATGTAAAACAAATATAAATTCTTATTAAATCAATCTATCTATCTATGTATTATATAAGTAAAAAGGGATTTCTAATCACAAGTCTTGTGGAAGCTCTAATATCTCAAACTAAAATTTCAATTTTTTTTAATTTTAAATAATAAAAAAATCCTCAATAGCTCTCATTCAAGCAAAAAAATAAAATAAAATAATAATAATAATAATTAATATCTTTTGATTTATGACTTTCAAATAGAAAGTATATCAAATATATAAAAAATTTCAATTTTTTTTTAATTTTAAATAATAAAAAAATCCTCAATAGCTCTCATTCAAGCAAAAAAATAAAATAAAATAATAATAATAATAATTAATATCTTTTGATTTATGACTTTCAAATAGAAAGTATATCAAATATATAAAACAAAAAAAAGAAAGTATACTAATCCATTTCAAAATTCAAATTTGAGGGCACTAAATATGGAAAGCATTCTATTAATTTAAATTTAAAATTATAATGATTTATCCCATAATATATAAGTTTTAAATAATGATCTATTCCATGATTTATCTATATATCTATATACCATTATAATTGCAAAATATTATCATTTCATTTAGGTTTTTTCTCATTTTTACTTATTTATTTATTTATTTTTATTAATATGTGTTACAATGTGATTGGTCTATAAATTAATTTTATATTCTTAAAATAAAATTTCAAATTTGGATTCTTAATTAAATTATTTTACTTTAATTGGAATGAGATCAATATTCATTCCTTAAATTTTGCATCCTTTATTAGTTATAAAATAAAATTTGAAATTTAAATTCTTCTTCAAATTATATTACTACAATTAGAATAAGATCAATATTCACATGTGTCATAATGATGTGTCATAATATTATTGTTCTAAATATATATATATTTTAAATACATGTGTTCAAATTATTAATCGCTATTAATTTTTTTTTATTTTTTTTGTTTTAAATTTTATAAAAAAAAATTATAAGGACTTGAACAATAATATTTTTTAATATATATATTTTTTTTAACAAAAGAATAAAACATAACTTTTTTTGTACTTATCAAACATGGCGGATTTGCTTAGATTGATTTGTTTTTTTTAATCTCAATTGTCAATTAAAGAAATTAAAATAAAGAATAAAGATATTTTTGGCTCAAATTGTTAAAAAGTTACTTTTGCTAAAATAAATTAGAAAGAAACGTTAATTTTTTTTATATTAAAAGTGATAGCTCATTAAACTTTTTTATTTAAAAAAAAGAGAGGATTATAGGTGATAATTTATTATTTATT